CATGAGTACTCCCATCAAGCAGTGTCCGGTAATTACATCGGATCTTAGCTGGTGCTTTGCCGAAGGAAGAGGTACGCCTACAGCAGGTTTACCGTGATTAGGATTGTACCCCTTCTTGCTAGCATGCCAGCTCAGCAATTTCCCCAGATGTTACTATGTTCTGGGACCCAATTCGCATACAGCTGAAAGTGAGTTTAAGGTTTCTCAAGATCTCAGTGCCACCTTTGGTCTGATATGATTACAATGAAGAGATTTAATGGCAGCTCGGCTGTTAGAATATATGGTAATAGGTTGAAATACTCTCCTAGAGTTGTGCAACCGCTTCCATTATTGCGGTTATTCTAGCTTGAAAGTCGCAGTAGAGAGTGAACTTCGCTGCCCAACACGCCAATAAGTTTTTAGCAATCAGTGAAAATGTTTACGGATCTTTGATCAAGAATAATTATGTTTTTCCATTCATTAATTTCTGTAATTTTAGTTGAGAAAGCGTGGCCAAAGAAGTTAAAAGAAGTATTGTAGTCTTTCTTTTTTAAGAATGTTGTAGAATTCAGTATTCGGACATCCCAAGTGTAGATTCTACAAGGCAGAATTGCATTTAGTCTTAATTTCCAATAATTTCCCCTTTCTTCTATTACTAAGAAACAACACAAAGTTTTTCTGAGAAATTCTGAAAAGGCCTTCTTACGCATGGAAGACGGTCAAGTCAATATTTTGCTATAATGACTGCTATTGAGACTTGCATAACGGGGCTGCTAAAGACAACGCGAATGGCTGCACTCGAGCCGATATTCGACTTAATGCCAATCGAAATTTGGTTGGAAAACTTCGTCCGTTGTAAGACTGGTGACTTTAGATAACCATCATTAGCGCTATGCCTGAAAGGCAGAACAGAATCCGCTGCGTTTTACATGGAAGGAAGGTTGCAGTCTATCATAGAAGAGTTAGAGGCTCACAACATGCATATGGTTGGTATATAACCGACTAATGGAGTGGCTGTTAGAATCTATTGCGCTGAGCTGGACCACACACAATCCTTTAAACTGCCGAATCACTGTAGTATTTTCTAGAAAGAAGTCTTCGCTATGAGAAAACCTCCTGAGCTAACCAATACGGCTGGATTGACATTAAAAACATTGAAACAAAAGCATATGGACTGAAGTCCAGGTCCTAGGCCCGTTAAGGATGACATTATTACCGGAACAGGAAATACCCAAAACGCTACGAACTATGCACAAGGAGCTTGAGGTAACAGCTGGAAGACAGGTGCAGATGGAATGTTCAAAGGCTGCAAAGAGGACGAAAACACTATAGAAGGATTAGTTTATTGGGTGTTAAATTGACATATCTAGCAGTGATGCATGCAGGAAGTGTAAGGAGATAGGCGCGAGTTTGACATAATAACACCATCTCTGTATCGGTTTGGCGTTATCGAGAGCATGACTCAAACATCTACAGTGTTTTCAAACTTCGCGATAAGCTTTAAGGTCGGCCTCGAATTAGTTTGATCCTTCATCTGGCACTACAAAGTACCAACAGGTCATTGTAAAGCGTAGCAGACAGCTGATGCTTGGGGACACTTACTTCTTTTAAAGCCGTGAAGCTCAATACTGGAATAACTTTGAAAATTTGTATTGAAGAAAATCTGAAGAATGTAAAGTGGTTAAAGTAAAAACAGCTTAAAAAGAACCCCTTGCGGGTTAGGGGCTCAAGAATTTACCCGCGGTAAGGCATGCCTGTCGTTAGAGGCGGCTAAGATCTAATAGTTCCCGTGGAACGACCCGGATTTTTATCCGGCCTAGGACTGCCACTCCCGCAACATTCCCCAAAAAGTACTTTGGGGAATAATTTTGCGGCTACAACAACAACAACAACAACAACAACAATTGTTCATAAGAAATCAATAAGATATTTACATACATACATACATATATACAATTTCAAAAATTCTTGTTACATAAAAAAATATTAAAAAAAATTAATGCACAAGAAAAATGATGAGAAAATCTCGAAATCTCACATTATATTTTCCAAAACATTTCCACATTTTCCCACGCCCGCAAAATGTACATATGTACGTGTATGTATCTACAATAATGTAGAAATTACAGCGCACGGTTTGCTATGCCCATGTGAAAGAATCCTTCGAGCCGATCTCACAGTCGCATCAATACAAACAGGCAACTGCAACTACAGTTATATACATATATATACATATATACGTATGCAAGTAAGTATGTATTCAGACAAGTTCCTTCAAACGGGTGCATGGGAAAATGTAGAAAATGTGAATGAACTCAATAAACGTGATAATAACAAACGAGCAAGCCCACTCGTTCATCCAGCCACAGGACGAGCACCACACACAACGCTGCCGGGCAGGCATAAGACAATACACATGAATGTTTGTAAGCCTACAAGTGATGGAAGGTAGAGAGTGAGAGAAAACGAGTGTCAACGAGCGCCAGGAATACACTTTATTGTTGCGCCGTGAGAGAACTTCGTCAGAACTTTGTTGTTATTGTTGCTGCTCGTGCTGCTGCTTGTGGTTGTGGTAAATATTACTCGTACTATTTTTCTACAATCATTACTAGTACTATGCATGCAGTGCATTTCTTGCGTACTCGAAACTTCACTTCCGGTGACGACAACAACAACAAAGCGCAAATACCATCCGATTCCGATTGGAAATGTCACTGTGTGTGTTTTGAGTGTGGCGAAGGATATGTGCGGCATGGTGTGAGTGCATGCGGAAAGCAAAAATGCATAAGTTGAACTCTGTCGAGAAGTTTCTGCATAAATTTTGTATGTATGTGTGTATGTATGCATGCAAGTACCACTCAAAGGGTTTGAGTCAAGGAAAAAAAAACTTACCATTTTCAAATCGTATAAATAATCCGTTCAAGCAGTAAAAATCTGTTCGGTTTTTCTTGATTGCTAATTTTTTTTATTTTTATTTTTTTGTTAACAAAATTGTGGTTCCGTTTCCAGTTAGAGATTTTACTGTATTATTTTTGAGACGCAATTTATGCTTTCATATATTAACTTTCTGGCGTTTTTTTTTTTACAATTTCATTATTTTCACCTTATCAGCGTATAACACTTAATAAAGTTGTCTATGTAATAATTATTTGCAATTTTTTTGTTTGTATGTATCGTCCCCGTTATTCGCACTTATCTTTAACTGTGTTTAGAGCACAAAATTATTCGATTTTTCGCTGATAACATGAACATCAAATAACACTTAATTCTTTCTTTGTCAAATTGTACATTATGTACGTATGTATTTATGTATTCCTATGTCATGCAGTAATTAATTAGAACACTAACGGTTCAATGTTTATTGTTTCTAAATACAAATACAAAAATAGCCGAAAATTGTCACTGTATTAATACTGTGTAGTGCCTTCCGTACGCGCTTTACTATTTGCGACTAGCTGGCCTCACCATCACTTAGTATCTATGCCGCTTTTAGTAGGTTTTGTAGTTTTTATTATTTTCCTATTTGAATGGGTTTGCGCAGCCGACTAAAACGTACTAGCACTTGTTTGCACATACTCAGGCACAAACATATGTGCATATGTACATATGTATGTATATGCTTATAGTATGTGAAAAGTGCACAGGGGGTGATTCCATCATGGGCAAATACACGTAATATGTAGTGACAACGAATTCGGTGGTTGTAGAGGTAGTCCACTCATACATATGTACATACATACATACATACGTATAGATTGCTCATACTGCGCAACTAAGAGTGATGAAAATTTGCGTATCTCCAATTCGTATACAATTTTAAATTTGCATTTAACGAGAGAGAGTTTCTTGGTGGAGCAGCGAATTTTGCACGTGCCAGTTCGCTGGTTTATTGTATTTGTTTGTATATATTTTGCAAACACTTTTGCATAGTTCTCATTTCCTGTGATGAATTATATTTCGTGAGAGATTTGGTATTCAGAACATTTCCAGCACACCTTAAGGCCGAAATGACCGATAAAGTAAGTAAACACGAGCGCTAGCGCAACAGAGAGCTGTTTTGGCGACTAAAGCTCTCCTTGGTATCTACTTTGTACATCATAGGAATCTCCTACATTGCATATTTGCAAAGAGGGCCATACAGCTTTAGCTATCCTCTGAGCAGATGCTAAGTTTTTGTGAGAGCCTTGACCAAGGATAAAATTGTCGTAAACTAACAAGTCGTAAAGTCGTAATATACGGGCTGTTATAAAACTTCACAAAAGTAGACTAGCACAAGTTTCTCATTCTCTTTGCAATAATTTGCTTATCCTCCGACCCTCCACATCCGGTTTAATCTCTTTGCCGATGAATGCTTTGGCTACCGAATGGATCAGTATGCTGTGTTTACACTTATTGTAGTGCACTTTTAGGCGTCGTACTTCATACAAATTATTCTGGTGAACCACGAGATTTTGTTTTACATTGGTTTTCCATAGCAACAAAGTTGCAATTCAACATGACTAAATGAACTGGTATTTTACTAGTATGTCAAGGTTAATCACAAGAAAATGGATGATAAGCTAGTTGTTGAAAACACATTTATAAATATAAGTTCTGTTCGTCGAGAAACGTCAAAATTGCGCTCTCCTGGTGCAAATTTCAGTGACATTTTGCCTCGCCGAAGGGCGTTTAAGTAAAAAGTGGAAAAGCAAAAAACCATCTCACCCAACATAACTATAGCTTTAGCCCTTTCCCTGCTGGGTATTATTGAAAGCTTTTACATATGTATGTATAATTCAGGTAAAAACATTTTTAAACGTACACCGATTAAAAAATATGAATAATAATTTAATTTGTATATAAATAATATAATAATTTAATTTAAATATCTATCGACTTTACTATAAAAAATATAAATTATTATTTATTTAGCTCAATATATATATTTATAAATATTTAATTTTTTAATAAAAAATTGTTCGTATGAATTGGAAAATGAAAATTGTAATGACTCAGAAAAATGAAAATATTTGAAATAAAAAAATCAGTAACATATAAATTTAAAAACTGTAAGTTACAAATGTTAAAATATATTCCTACACACTCCAAAAGAGCTATTGGCACACATATATATTTATTGCTATGGCAAATTATAAACTTTAGGCTAAATAAGCATGCATACGTACTTTTAAGCTACCATAGCGACTTGTAGAATTATAAATTCTTTCCATATTGTTGCGTTGAAGCAGCTGCGTGTTTATCAATGTAGAAAAATATGATTAATTATAAAAAAATGTGTGAAATATATTTAATAATACCTTATTTGTGTTGTTCAGTAGGTAATCTACTAGTATTTATTATCATTTGGCAAAAACACTTTGAAATATTTTATTTTGGCGTATTTTCAAGTAATGAGTCGTATTTTTAAATGCCTCTGTATCAGTTCGGATGGACACTCTATGTAATCTAATTGAAAAATATTAATAGCGGGCTGATACTTCGCTTGCATTAATTCTAGCAATTGTATTTTATTCATTTTTTCACACTTCTGCAATTCGCATTCCAATACTCCACGAGGTGTCGTTGGCAGCCATTTGGCAGGTGTGTGATTTGGACTCCAAAGAACTACTTCACCACAAATTTCGCAGTAACGTCCATTTTCCAATACATTAGATGTGGCGAACTTGAAAAGTCGTAAACTTATTACGCCCTCAGGTAGACTGTAATCTCTTTAATTAAAATTATTAATGTATAAAAATCGTTAGCGTAAGTTAAAGGTAAACAAAACCTGGGTAGAATTGATGATAAGTTAATATTTCCTAATACAAAGTAGCCGTTATGGTCATAATGTAGTTTTCCAATCACAGTGCAACGACCATTGTGTAGTTTTAAATAGTTTCTTTCTAGTGCCAGCTCTTCCACTAAAAGAAACTTATTATAAAAACAATATTTTGGTAGGTCAACGACTTCGCTTTCTGTAATAATTTCAGTTGACTTATTTTCACCCATTATTAATTCAAGTCTAATCAAATGTTCTGCGCTTAAAATCTACAACAATTAATCCAATATCGCGCCGTTTTGTTTCGCGAACAGCTGTGGGCAACAGGGTGCACCTAGTATAAGAAATACTTGAGTTGTTATATTCAAAGTGAAAAAGGTTAGTGTATTCAAACGAAAAAATAATTGAAGAAGTTTTCTACATGTTGAAAATGAACAGTACTGTTATTCATATAAAATAATAAATTGATAACAATTACTTAAAGTTTTCAACTGCTTGCTGTAAATTTGTTGCAAAATACACCCTATCAATGTCCACGAAACACAGCTGTATCTGCGAAGATACGCGAATACAGACGATGATAATCGGAGCAACTCTGCCAGCGAAAATGTTGAAGAAGTGGCAGAAATTGAGAAAATTTGTACGTGAAAAGATCAAAATTGTGGCCGAGGTTGACGAAATCGCAAAAGAAACCTAAAACTTTTGGTAATTTATAATGTGAAATCTGTGTAAAAAAACCGTTTACAACTGAAATCGACTGTAATTAAATATTTGTGCAGTAGAATAGCCAATTTAAACTAAAGTGTAAGGGGAAGCTTCAAAAGTGTAAAAATGAAAAGAAATTATAAATATTAAGAATAGAGAAACTAGTCACAAGCATTTCTATCGCAAGAGGGACGAACGAGCTGGAATGCAAAGTGCAACAGAGCCAGTGCTCTCCACCAGACCCAAACCCCCACCACAATTTGTACTGAGTAGAGATTACTTGGTCGGTCGGTTAATGTGTTGCGAAAAAGTCGAATTTTTTCGAGAGGAGTGGCGGCTACCGCTGCGTATAGATGAGCTAGTTACGCGCAAAATACATACGATTGAAGGACAGAGTGGCGCAGCTACCATTCCCAAATGAAAAAAATATGTATGTAGAATAGACATTTACAAATTGTGTTTAATCTGTTTAACTGAAGTGTTGCATGAAATGAAAAATATGAAAAAATTTGCAAATTTCAAACGAAAAAATTGAATACATATATCGTATTGTCTAAGAAGTGTGTTTTAAATATTTTGATAACCAATTTATATGCCATGTAAAAACAGATTCGTGCAAGCACATATGTATATGTATGTACATACATACGTATACCTAATTGGGTATATCATATCTTTTTTATGCAACCGCGTTCCATTTTTTGCTATCCACTTTATCTTCATTCTATTTTGTGCTGTGTTGAGATATTTTCACGCGGCTGTTGGATTTATGTCAAATTGGAAACAACAACAAACTTTATACTATGCAACAGCAGCTACGCCGCAGAGGTAGTAGCAACGACAGCGTCAACGATAGAGTGTTTGACGATAATTAAAAAAAAAACTGTGTGGGAATATTCTGAAGAGATGTTTAAATCTGTTTAAATCAATCTTGTTTGATTTAATACCTTACGATTACAGTCATATGTATATATGTTACATACATACATACATATGAAGATTACAATACCGGCACTGCTCTGCCAACGCCAATGCCAATGCTCTACGGTCGCGATCTTGTAGCATATTTTCAATCTTGCCGATTTATATGCTAGTCAATCTGTTTTGTTGCTGTTAATTTTATAGCTATTTGACGCATTTGCTGCGAGTTGACTCTGCTAACTTATGCTGCTTGCCTAGCGGAATCTTCGGGAGCGTTCGGTAAACTTATGCAGTCGGCGCTCTGATCGGTTCAAATTTTGAACAATATCAGAGTTGCCGTGTGTTGAAACGATTTTTTTTTTGAACCAACAGTAAACACTTCAATTCAAAATGCTTGTATATAGAAACAAATATATTTATTGTATTAATAATAATGCTTTCTATAATTGTATTTGCATTCATTGCAAGTTGTGATATATTTGTTTTTTTTTTTAACATTTGTTTTCATATCTCTGAGTGACTTGAATAACGTGGCAACTCACGCCATTTAATTAGATTGATAGCGAGTGCTGTGAAAACCGATCGTCGTTGGCGCTGCGCAGTTGCTCTGCTGCTGCCACTGTCAAAGCAACTAATTCTCCACATCAAGTGACAAGTGTTCTTCTGTTTTATTTCCATTAACGCGAGTATTTCAGATATAACATTTTACAGTTGGTCTTATTTGGATACATAATGTTAAGTGAAAATAGGAAGTGATCATGAGGGAATCTGAAAAATACATAAAGTAAATGGAAATTTCCTTATATTTTCAGAAGATACTTAGGCAGCAAAAAAAAATCCGAGTAATCCCGCTTGGGCAAAATATTGACAATCAAAACACTGAAAATGTAAAATATATGAAAAGGTTGTAATAAAAATTATTTTGAGCTAAAATGAATTTTGAAAAAGAATTCAATTTTTTGTTTGTGAAGGAAAGAGAAAAAATAAACGAGAAAGTGGTGCATGAGATAGTCCAGAAAGTAGAAGTGAAATAATTAGGATACGATCAAAATTGCGGAGTGTATTTCAAACGGAGATTACAAACGTACAACGATACAGAGGAAACAAAGCTATTCGAAAGATAAGTGAAAAGAGAAACGATAAAATTACAAGCACCAAAAGCACCGGAAAGTAGAAATGAGACACATAAAAGTTTAAATGCAGTGAAGTGAAAAGAATAATTATGATAAAGCAAAATTGTGAAGAAAAGCTGTTATGTGCAATAAAGGTGCTGGCGCAGTAAACGAAGCGAAAAGATAGTACATAAAGTGAAGTTAATCATATCGCTATTGCATTGTGTATGCTTGAAATTAAAGAAAGAAGCAAGGTAAATAAGAAGAGCAAATAAGCATGAAAGCAGAAGCAGTTGATTAAATCAAATCGGACAAAGTCAACATTTAATGATAGTTAAAAGCAACTAAACTACATTATAATTTTAATGCAGGAATATAATAAAATAGTAATTTTTCATATTTAAAAGACTGAAAAGAAAATGCAGATGTGCTTATGAAGATTAAATTTCTTATTTTTTTTTACAGATATTGCGATTCCTTTTGCTTTCTTTTTTGTCTATCGAAAAATATAATAAAATAATACGAAGCAAAAATTAAGTACATACAACAACTAATACACATATATAAACTCGAAAAATACTAGAGATTGTTTGCGGTTGATATTCTTTGTATACAGATTTGAAACTGATTGAGATTGAGTATATCGCTAGTTGCACGGCGGGTAAGCTGATATACTTACCGCCTTTTGTTTGACTGTCAAACGGTCTGTTAGACCTGGCAGACAGTCCATATAATTGGTTGAAATTTTTAGTGATCAGTGCAAAAAATTTTTTCCAACTCAACTTCGATCACCACACTAACAGTCATAACAAATAAGATCGAAAGAAAAAATTTTTTAAACCGCAAAATCAATCGAAAACGTACAAAATGTCTTCATTGGACGTGCGCAACAACTCAGCGGTGATGAAACGTGCTGAACAACTTAAACGTTGGGAAGAATCAGACACAAATCGTCAGCCGCCAACGCCACGGCCAGAGAGAGGACGAAAAATAAAATTCTCCTCGGGCTGTGTCTTTCTAGCAGCCTGTATGTCTGGTGATAAGGAGGAGGTACTAAAGTTATTAGAAAGTGGTGCCGATATCAATACCGCCAACGTAGATGGATTAACCGCCTTGCATCAGGTAAGCAACGCTTAAACTTATTATTAAATGCCCAAAATGGTATTTTTTCATCTCAAGACTCGTTAGTATAAACATTTTGACATTTTAAAGTTATTTCTTCCAAAATCTAATCAAAATCTTTTGATTTGTCCATTCACTGAAAAGTTATACTTCTTAACGAAAAAATTATTCCCAAACACAATTTCAAATAAGCTTATTTGTGGAAAAAAAATTTGTACATATGTATGTCTGTCAGCTTATTTATGTAGGCACGTGAATGTACCTATTGCGTCAATATACCTCAAGTTTATTTCGAAAATTACGCTGCCAAACAATATAATCCACTATAATATCTGCAAACTTTCCTTCTCTCTCGGTTCTCCTTTTATATTTGGCTCCACAAAGGCCCATTCTCATATCGCCAACCGACCAATTCGTTCGACCATAGGGGCATTTGGCTGGCGGCAGTCTCATGGTACCACCAACAAATGCGTTTGGTACGCCACAGCCCACAGCCGCGCCACGGCAGCAAATTAACAAATTCGTTTCTAATGCAAACAGACGATTTACAAACCCACCAAAAAATACATGCTATTTTTAACTATGAAATTATTTCGCTGGCTGGCTGGCGTGCTTCTTCGAATGTACAAATATAAATACATATTAATTGCACAAACATCCAAATATACATATTTTTTTTTTTTTTTTTTTGCAAATCACTTACATTTGCTGTATATTTTCTTACACTTGTTTTTACATACGTACATACAGACTTGTGTTTATATAGTAAGTAAATTGTGCGCTTTTCACGACGCACACAAATTTTCTTTTATTTGTCTTTATTCTCGGAGTTTCATTTCTAAAATGCATTAATATAATTTCATTTTTTTTAATTGGTTACAAAATGAAAGGAGGGAAGAATACAAAAATCGTCGCAACAGCTTTGTCAACACAGTCGGGGGAGTTGGGGCTCCTGGACCTTCATGAAAAGGAGAAGAATGGTCTTAAGTTTGATATCATTGTAAAACATTCGCAAAAATTTTGTCATATACCCTTATCTTTAGGTCATTGAAACATATTAAACAACGTTTCAAATTAGATCTTGCTGACAACCACTACATACAGTACACACCTACTCATCTAACAGCAAGCATAGAGGTGAATCCATTAATCCATTAGGCTCTATAAGCTTTTGAATCGATTTAACATATTTAAATAATGAAAAATATATTTTTTTCAATCAGTTTATTATATTATTCTGTAATATACTGTTATCAGTTATCTTCAGAGTCTATAAAAATAAAATGTACCTTTTACATATTTAAAATAAATAAATAAAAAAAACTTAATATACAAAAGTACATATTACATTGATAGATTGGAATATTGTTTTTATTAAGTTAGCAAAAACAACACCCACCCACAAATATACGTATGCACGCCTTGGAACTGAGGCTGAGGCACTGTTGGTCACCTCAAATATTTAAGTGGCATTAACCTTTGTTTTCAATGACATGGCCATTGTTGTTTTCTGCTCTTTACTATTTGATTTAATTAAGAAATAAAATTCCATATTCTATGCCCCACCGTGAGGATACTCGTACTATATACTAAGAAAATCACAGTTATGCCATTGGCATTGTAAAATGAAATAAAATAAAATATGAACAAATTAAATGCAAACAAGTCGCTGAGCGTCTATATTTTTGTCGTTGTAAGTGGGTGGGATGTTTGTGTCTTTGATGAAAGCCTCTAAGGTGAGAACAAAAAAAAAAGAATGATGACAAAATTATTTTTTTAAATGGATGATTTGAAATTAATGAACAAAAAACAAAGATATAAAAAAAAAATAAATTATAATAATTATCTCCTTAATTAAATTTAAAAATTAAGGGACTTAAAAATTAAAAAAAAATTAAATTATTTAAAGAAATTAAAATTAAAAATATTTAATTAACGAAATTCAAAAAGCCATGCACTAAAAAAAAATTAAATTAAGAAGGTATAAATACAGAAAATAAATTTTATAATAATAACTAAAGTAGTTAAATTTATAAAAATATAAAACATCTAGAAAAAAAAATTAGAATTAGAACATATACATATAATTAAAGAAATTAATATAAAATTAAAAAATTATTGCAGGAATAAAACTTATAAGAAATTTATAATAAAAACAAGACATATATAATTTAAGAAAGCATAATTAAAAAATATAAATAAACAAATTAAAAATAAAAATAAATAAAAGTCAGAAAATAATAACAAATAAAGTAAAATAAAAATAAAATTAATTAATAGTTAAAATATTGTCTAAATTGAGAAAAAAAAAATGGAAATCCGAAATATGTAAATAGAAATTGATTTAATAGAAATTAAAAAAATTAGTTCGCGAAATTAAACTTAAATTAATTAAATGTTTAAAATAGTTTTAAAATATTTAAAAAGAAAAATAAAATTTTACAATCTTTTTTATTTTTTAAAATAATAGAAATGTTAAAAAAGGAAATAATTTAAAAATCAATTGAAAATAAAAAGATAGAAAAAATGAAAAGAAAAAAAATTAAAAAAAGAAATAAAGAAATTTTTAAATCAAGATTATAGAAGAACAAAAATAAAAAAAAAATTAAAAACTAAAAAAAAAACAAAAAAAATTGAAGATAAAAACAAAAATGAATATAAATAAAAAAAAAATAAACATAAATAATGAAAACGAAATTTAAAAAAATTAAATAAAAAATACTAAATAAAATAATCTATTTGTAAAATTAAGAAAAAAAAAACAATTAAAACTTTTTTCAAATATTTAAAAGAATATATATTTAAAAAAATTTAAAAAGAAAAATAAAAATAGAAAAATAAAAGCAGAGAAATAAAAATAGAAAACTAGAAATAGAAAAATAAAAATAGAAAAATAAAAGTAGAGAGAAATAAAAATAGAAAAATAAAAATAGAAAAATGAAAAAATAAAAAAAATAAAAAAAAAATAAATAAGTTAAAAAAAAATAAAAAAAATAAAAAAGTTAAAAAACAAATAAAAAAATAAAAACATTTACAAAAAAATAAATAAAAAATAAATAAAAAAAAAATAAAAAAAAAATAAAAAATAAATAAAAAAAATAAAAAAAAAATAAAAAATAAATAAAAAAAGTAAAAAAAAAAATAAAAAAATAATAAATAAATTAGAAAAAAATTAAAAAAAATTTAAAAAAAATTAAAAAAAAAATTAAAAAAAATTTAAAAAAAATTTAAAAAAAATTTAAAAAAAAAAAATTAAAAAAAAATTTAAAAAAAAATTTAAAAAAAAATTAAAAAAAAATTTAAAAAAAAATTAAAAAAAAATTTAAAAAAAAATTAAAAAAAATAAAAAAAATTAAAAAAAAAAATAAAAAAATGAAAAAAAAAAATAAAAATATTAAAAAAATAAAAATATTGAAAAAATAAAAAAAAAATAAGAAAATAAAAAAAAAATAAGAAAATAAAAAAAAAAATATATATAAAAAAATAAAAAAAAAAATAAAAAAAAAAAAATAAAAAAAAAATAAAAAAAATAAAAAAATTTAAAAAAATAACAAAGAGGGGGAGAAATAAAATAAACATAAAAAATGAAAATGAAATTCAAAAAAAAAAAGAACCGAGAAGCAAAGATGCATTTTTGACTATTTGCTAGTACATTTGAAAGAAGTTTCCGAGAAATGTTTGCCCAAATGTTGATAGAAGGTAATGTTCGAAAAAAAAATAAGAAAAATATAGTGATGATAAATGTTTGCGTCCAGAAAGCGGAATTCATCCCAAGACGCATTAGAAAAACTATTGAAAACAGGGCTGGCTCTATAAGGGTATAAGTGTTTGAGTTGGTGTTGGTTGTCGCCTGCTATTATTTGTTTCAATTATTGGATGAAAGACGTCCAACGGAGTACTTAAATGCATCGAGAATAGTTACATAAGTCAGCACAACAAAGCTGGTGTTTTCAACTAGCCGCGAAGTGTTTTGAAGGCACCTGCAATGGAAAATGAAATAGAAGAAACCTCAAAGAAATTCCAATTAAAGCGTTTTTCTAATCTCGTCGAAGAACGAATGGAGATGTAGAAATACACGTATATATTTTCTTCTCTGCTATTTCTTCCAACACATTTTCTTTATTTAGAAACCGATTTAACTTATTTTCGATTTGGTACATATTTTATGCTCCACAAATTTGCTTTGAGCAAAAAAAAAAAAAAAAAAAAAAGAAAAAAAAAATAATAAATGGCAACATCAAACGTTTGTTGACGCGTTTTATAGCCTTGGCCTGCTTTTAGGCGATTTTCTATCACAAATCAAACATTTCACAGGAGGCAAAAGCCAGCGCTGCAGTTAGCGGCTATATGCAACAATAATGTTCTTGACTAAAACACAACAACAATTGTATTACAAAAATATAAATAACGTAATTTCATTCGAATCTAATTTGATTTAGTTTTGTATTTGTTTATTTTGCCATTTTGTTGCCTCTAATATGTAATTGTGTAATTGCTTTTGATTTTCTAATTTCGCACAAATTATTTACGTATGGTTTTATATTAGTTTTTATTTATTGTATTTATATTTGGTTTTGTAAATTTATGATGATATTTTAAATTTACGACAAATATTTTTTTTTTTTGAGTGTTACAAATTTTTTTATTGCTAAAAAAAATTGTTTATTTTGACCGTAATTTTTTCAACTTTCTGTTTGTATCATTTGTATCATATTTCAGTTTTAAAATTAATTTTTCATTTTTTTTATTCATATTTTTTTTTATATTTGTGTGTATGCAAAAAAAGACAGCAACCGATTGTTTGGTGTTTATTTAGTAAAAACGAGAGGGAGAACATGGGCGCCAGGGCATTCGTTTTTGAGTTCAATGAAACAATAATCTCCTCTATACGAGTATATATTTATGTAAATATCAAAGACTTTGCTCTGTATGACTGACGGACCAACGCCCAGCCTAAACCACTGATCACAGAGACTCAAAACTTGGAAGATATCTTCTTC